TACCCCAGTTCTGTATGCACAAATAAATAAATCTTTAAAAAAAAAAAAATTTCTTTTCCACCCTAGAATTTTTTTATTCTAGATTATATAAACTTATTTTTACATAAAACTATAATAATAGTTTTTTGTTTATCTGGAATTTATTTTTGGATATATGTCCCCCTTTAAAGGGGAAATTTTGACTTCCTCTTTCAAAAATGGAGTATCTTGAAATTTTGCTAGTCAGAGCATGTTTTCATGTAATTGTATCATGAACACTGGACCTCCTTTTTTACTGTGCTAGGTTCACTCTACTACACTTTCACATCATTGGGGTATAAATATTTTCTAAGCACCTGCAGAAATGAGGTGTTTTAAATTTTCTATTAAACAAAATCAAAAATGATTCAAAATCATTAAGACAATTTTTTCTGTTTCAGCTTGGTGTGTGCAGTGAGTTATACAACTCAGGGAGGAGAAAAAATGTACTTTAGAAAATTCTTCAAATTTCAGGTATTAAGTATGACAATGGTAATCAGTTTTTAGATGCCTTTGTCCCTCTGAAGAAGAATACAGTTACTCTTACTTATCTGTAGTGTAAACAGGCTTCACATAAAGCAGGTAGCTTAACTTTTTCAATGTGCCATATTACTAATAATCTAAATTCTGACAAAACTAAATGAAGACTAATTATCATTGCCAATGTAATGTTTTGTAGTGAAATTTCATTTTTTTATCAAATAAAATTTCTGTTACGACTTTGCAAAAAAGCACTTAAGAATCTAGAAGGATTAATAATAGTATCAGATTTCTGAAGAAATGTTTGTAGAATATTTACAATAAGCTTCTTTCAAGTGACTAAAGTCACTGATATTTTAGATGGAATTTCATTTATTAAGTTTTCCAAGTCCCAAGTCTTTGGTCAGAACTGGTTTAAAACCGTAGGTTTCACAAATGTCTATGTGTTGGTGGGGAGATAAGAATGCCATACATCCATACAAGTTTAAATCTGCATATGATCCTGTAAGTGGAAGAAACTGTACTATCAACAGGGGGAAATATTTACTCTTATTTCACTGCATCACTCATTTAAGATTTAAAATACCTTTTAAGAGAAAATAAGTTTCTTTGGTTGCTTATTTTGGTAGACTTTTTTTTTTTAAATACATAGAGAAGTACATTTACATATATGTGGTCAGCCTAGCAATGTATGAAGTGATTATCATGCACATATCACCCAGTCAAGAAAGCATAGTTGCTTTTTTAAAAATGCATTTGTGGGCCCTCCTTGGTGGCGCAGCGGGTTAAAGCACAGCACTGAGAATCTAAAGCCACTTCCGCATGAGTTCAATTCCCACCTGCCCCGGAGGTGACCACATGGCGTGGCAGACCTCTCCTGACCCGCCCACTGCTCTCCTCAGCAGTGTACTTCGTCGATCTGCCTGTTCTGCTCCCCACTCTGTCTCTGGTGAAGCCTCTCACCACCCTTGAGCCTCTGACCTGTACCTCAATTCTGTATGCACAAATAAATCTTTTTAAAAAAAAATGCATTTGTGGAGGGGAGGTGAGAGAGAGAGTGGTTTTGCAAGAGCATTGCATATTCTTTAGAAAATTCTTTTACAATTAAAATTGAAGCAAGCCTTTGCTGATGTTAAACCTTATAATTTAAAAGAAACAAAAATAAATGGTCCCGTGATAGGAATCTCTGACTTACATGCTTTGTTCACCTAGGTTCTCAAACCATTGGATGTGAAAACCAAATTTTACAATGCAGAGGTAAGTGTTGGGAACCTAATGAGATTCAAATTAAAAATTAAGATCTTAACTGACTAAAATTCTGACATTAGAGTCTACATTTTTTGCACATTGAAATAAATTACTGATATGATTTCAAATTATGAAAAAATGAGCATAAACTTCAATCAGAAATAAATAACTTATTGTAGATATCCTTAATCTGCAATTGTCATGGAATTACAATGCCTTGATTTTTTAGTCTGTTAATTTTGTGAGCCTTTCATTCCTTTTTATCTAATGAATTCCTTATCATTCCATCTAATAGTTGTTGTTACTATCTAAAAACATTAGAAATCTGTTTAATATAATATGGCTCCAATATTACAAAAATAGAAATTTAACCCTATTTTAAAAAGATGTATTTATATGAAAAAATACTGACAAGTAATCCTCAGCACATTAATTTCTTTGTTTTGAGAATTCAGTGGACCAGCCAGAAGTTAGGTTACTTAGTTTAGTGAATAGCTTGAAATGCTCTTAGGTAGAAGCAAATTTGGCAAACATAATCTTTTAGGATAAAAGATAATATCTTATATCCAAACAAAAGAGACAGAATAGAATGCCTTACCAGGTTTTATTGCTTGGATTTCTTTTGTATAATACTGGCTTGTAAAAGGCAGGTTTCTTGAGGATCCTATACATAATCCTATACATAATCTTGAGGTTCCCACATAATCATATGTTTTGTATCACAATGAAAAACTCAAAAAATAGTTAAATACAGTATTTTGAAACAAAGGGTATACCTTTATTATTCTAAAAACAGATGATGATAAGAAATGTGCGATAGTGTCAAATTTGATACTTATTTTTGCCATCAGCATCGGTTTTTACTCAGCATAATGTTTGTAATACAACTAGAAATACTAAGATATCTAAGATAAATTTGAACTACAGCAATGACTTAATAAGGTGAAAAAGATAAGTGCATAAAATAACAAAACTACCTCATGTGGTATAGAATGAGTCAAAGAGAATGATATGAAAAGATAAGTCACACAAACTCTCAGGGTTTGGTTTTTGGATTAGTTGGAAGTTTTATGGAAGAGGAGTGAATTGTAGCAAAATTTATGAGAAATTGATGTTGAAAACCTCAAAATGCCAGTGCAGAGAAGGCATTCCCAGTAGAATTGCAAATACAATTGGAATATTGAGTACACAGTGATGAACATACATATTAGCTGGGAGGTGACATACTGAGCAAGGATGTTACTAGATGCTTTTGGGGAATAGACAAGATGGGATACCAGGTGTCTATTCTACCTTGCTTCTTGTTAATACTATATTATTCATTATTAGAGTTTAACTATTCTCCTTGCTCTAATTAAATAGTATTAGAATATTGTTTTACTAGAATATTGTTTTACTAGAAACAATATCACAGTAAGAGGTGACTGTTAACTTTTCAGTTGTATAAGTCAGAAAATTAAAATTAATGGGTGGGTGTTAGTGCGTCTATTTTTTCTATCTAATTAGCCCCTAGTAAGGCACATGTTAAGCTATTTAAGTTTTAACATGTGGTGGTATATGAGCTACTTGTGAAGTTTTATAACACTCTTATTTAAAGTGATTTACAAATAGTTTTTTAAATTGCTAGGTATCCCATGAATATTATAAGTGACACTTCCCCAAAAGAAAAATCCCACAATTCCACCATACCAGCAAGTAACTGATACTTCACTAATCTATGTTCTTTCAGTCTTTACTGGTTTGTATATAATATTCTGTATAATCATTGTAACAATTTTGTGTGCTTCCTTTCTCAATAACATTACACGGAGATGTAATATTTAATCTAAACTTTGCCAACAAACTAAATTTTTTAGTAAAATTCTGTACTTTTGAAAATAGACTTTACTTTAAAAGCCAATAGTGAACCAGTAGTATTTAGGGTCTCTTTAAGGTATTTTATAATACCTGTATTATATTCTGTGTTATACAGTTATCCTGTATTACTCATTAGGAAAACAAATACTGATCAGCCTGTACAAAGAGATGGATTGTTTTAACTCCAAGTAGGAAATTTGGGCAGATTTATAGAATTAGTAAACCACACTAATCAGTAGGTGATACCTCACAAAATGACTATTATTAGCCCCACATTTATCTTAACATAGGTTATTATACTGTTTCTAATAATACATGAATCACTTAAAGGGGAAACAAGTTTCATGAGTAATTTTGTAGTAGTAGTCTAAAATAGGAAAACCTTATAAGAAGAATGGTAACATTAGAAGCTAGGATTCAAACATTTAATCAGATGCTAAGTATAGTATTCCATGCCAGGTACTGAAGAGAAATAAATATATACTGAACACCTTCCCAACACTCCTGGATTTGGTTCTGGTGGAAGACTGATGATATAAGCACCTCTCCCCACCCACATCACTAAATGAGTATACTTGTATGCTGGAAACAGATGAAAGTGATTTCTGCCTGTGTTTGATGAAAGAGGTGACATTTGAGATGGCCTTTGATAAATAAATAGCGTTAGAAAATATGTATACAAAAAAAGACTAAAACTCAGTTGAAGTATTCTTGCCCAGCATTCCCTAGAATGGGATCCATGGCATTCTAGTTGCCAGAGATGTTCCTTGAAAAAAGGATCTATTATTGGGTAAATTGAGGAGAAGCTGTATAGTGTATATTGGCTGAATGTGGAACATTGTATATATCCAGTAATCTATAAAAACTACAATGTAGGTAAAGAATTTGTAAAATTAGAATAATGAAATATACCTCCCTTCCCCAAGATGTACCATTGAATACTTGCTCTTATTGAAGTAGTCACTCACCTGTTGTTCTTCTATATTCATATAACCTTAGCAGTTTCACCTTTTTAAAAAAATGATTTGTCATATTTATGTTGCTTTCTGTTTATTTCTTGTTTTACTAATGCTGTCTTGTTTAGTAAATAAAAAAAATGCAGAAATGCATTTTATTTCAAATAAGTTAGTTATTCTTTTTTCTTTAACATTTAATTCTGATTTTTCTAATTTTTCTTTTTTTTTATTTTTCCATTAGAGTGACCTCAGTTCTGTGGTAATTTGACTTTTTATTATAAATTTATATGCTTTCTTACTCACTATGTTGTTACTGTCTGCCTAATTAATCTCTCCTTACAAAACATAATGGAAAAGTAGTTAGTTTTGAAACCACCTATGAGACTTCAAAAAGATGTATATATAATTTGTGCTTTTTGTATTGTATTCTCTTGTTATGTGGAGGGAAAATTATATCAAAGACTACATTGTCATATTGAAATAATTATATTCTTAGTTTTGTGTTCCCCTTTCAGTGTTTTTTAAGAGAGACTTGTTAACTTTGTTCAAAATAACTTTGCAATTTCAACATCTTACTAAAAATTACCTTTTCATACTTCAATTTTTTTAATAAACTGTCTAGTTTGAATTCATGTTTAATGCATAGCAGTTCCTAGTTTTAAGTCTGGGTCAAGTAAGATTGGCCCTCTTACAACAGTGACAGAAGAAGTCAAATTTCCTCAAGTTGACTGAAATAGTATTTTTAAATTTCTATTTAAAAAATATGCTTGCATCACATCATTTCCATACAAACATCTGCCACAAATCTTAAGTTCTTATTTATCCTAATTTTTCAAGTGTCAAATTGCATTATGTTAATTGTTCAAACTAACTTAATTTTCCATTATGCTGCTTATTTTTCTTCCATGTAATCTAAATTCTTCCTAAATTTATGCAGAAAATTTCATTTTTAAAATTGAAATGTGGGTTTATGGTTATTTTTTTTTGAAGCAATGGATTGATGGGATATATATATATATACTTTTTTTGAGAAAAAGTACTTAAGTGGTACATTTTTAAATGGCTATCTCACTGTATTTACATTTTCATTTGCACACATGTGCCAAAGACGAAAGTATTTTATTTTAAGTAAGAATCTTTTAAATCATAACTTCATTATTGTATTTTATTTTCTTGGATTTGGTGTTAAAAACTCTTTAAGTACCAAATTTTTTTATCATAGTTTGTTATTTTATTTCTGTATATATCTGTGAAACTTTAAGCAAAGTTCATAATATTTTAAATACATCATTTTTCTATAAACTTAGTTCTATACTTAGTTCTGTTAAAATACAACATTTTTCAAAATTAAACCAATTCAATCTGTTACCCTTCAATTAGGCAGCCCCTGCTTATCCATGGGACTTTGGTTTTAAAACCCCAGTGAATGGCTTTGAACCATGGACAGTACCAAACTCTAGACTTGTTTTATTTTTATTTTTGTTTTTTTTTACATACCTATGATAAAGTTTAACTTATAAGTTAGGCACAATAAGAGTAACAACAACTAATAATAAAATAGAGCAATTATAACCATACACTGTAATAAAAGGCATGTGAATGTGGTCTCTCTCAAAATATATTGTATATAATATTTTCACAGGTAACTTAAATTGTACCACAGATAAAGAGGGAGCTACTACATAAACACACACAATTGACAACCAATAGCATGAAAAGGATGTTTAATATAACCAACCAGGGAACAAAACATTATATTAAAGTACACATTTAAGTTACCCATTTTTTCAGATTTATTTCTAAGACTACAAAATACACTTTTTGTTTGATTTAAATGCTTCTAAATTTGTCAGGTATAATTCACACTATATTATCCCTAAATATACATTTAAATGAATCAAGAAATCACCAATGACCACCATAAATTACTTTAACTAAAAAGCTAAATCCTGTAAGATTATAAAATAGATTATTCATGATAGCAGTGGTTCCTGTACTATCTAAATTGAAGTGATATGACAAGTTACATTATGCCAGAATATTTTTAATAAACATCATTATATCACTTAAATGATAAGTGCACAGATATATTCATTATAGTGAATTGCATTTTAACATTTTTAACGATTTACTAGATGATTTGAGATATTTGTGAATGAAATTCCCACTGAAAATTACTTTTAGATGTCAGTATAAAAAATATAACTATCCTCCATCCATTGTTTGACAAGTATCAGTTGACTAACACTTGACTTTGCCCCTACATTTAATTACATTAGGATGAAGACTTCTTGCATTAATTATTATAATTTTGATTTGCAGGCATGAACTAATCACATTTGTGGTTAATATATTTTTTCATATAGATATTTTGTTGAGTTACATATTTTAAATATCATCACTCTTTGGTGGATATTTTTTTCATATCTTCAGACTGATGAAGTATTTCTGGAAGCCCAGATTCAAAATATTACAACCTCACCCATGTTTATGGAGAAAGTTTCATTGGAGCCATCTATAATGTACAATGTGGCAGAATTAAACTCAATCAACCAAGATGGAGAATGGTAAATATAAACTATGAAGTGTTCTTATTTTGACAGATAAAAACTATTCTAATACCCATTCCTTTTAGATGACTTGTAATTTTTTTTAATTAATAGATTGAATTTTTTTAGAGAAGTTTGATGTTCACAGAAAAACTTGTCAGAAAACACAGAATCCACATGTTCCTCTCCTCAGTCACTGTGTCTCCTATTGTTTACATCTCCTTTAAACTTGGCACATTGGTTACAATTTATGAGCCAGTATTAATACTTATAACCAAAGCCCTTTTGTGGGTTTTAACAGATATAAACACACTATGTCATACAAAATAATTCACTGCCCTAGAAGTCTCTTGTGCTCACCTATTCAATCCCTTCTTACATGTAAAGATCTTAGCCATTTGCATTTTGTGTTTAGTATTTGAAGTACTTTTTTTAATTTTCATAATAATTCAGTGAGGTAAATATGAAACCTTTCTTCCTTATCCTGCAAATGAGAAAACAGGTATGGAAAAGAATGGTGAAGCTGGAAAGGGTAAGAATGAGGATGAGATTTTTAGTTTTTTGTTTTCATTGTGATTACAATGGCTTATATAACACTGCATGTGGTTCATAACCATAGGATCACATCTCCTCAGACAGGTCACCACGCCACATCCGCCAAGGCATCTAGTCCTCCATTTTAGTCCAGTGTTCCCCACCCCACTGTGCTTTACTCCCGCTTTCCTCCATCTTAGTCTCAGTTCCATTGTGAAATCTCTAGGGTTTATTATTGGTATGATTTTGTTTGATGCTTTGTTCTTTCTCTGATTTCCACCTATCAGTGAAATCATCTGGTATTTGTCTTTCTCTTATTTCACATGGCACTATTCATGAGGGTGAGTTTTAAGATGAAACATTCTATTCATATCAAGAAGTAGGACATAGAAATGGATCATTTTTTTTTTCCTGTGTAAAAGTTAAATTCATACAGCTTTCTACAGGTAACTGAGAAGAGGAATAATAAATGTAGGGTTAACATTAATATGCATAAGAAGGATTAGCTAGAAAAAAAGTACCTGATTGTCTTAATCAGAAATAAATACTTTCATTATGGTGGTTAGTTGCAGAAAAGTTCATGACCTCCTATAGCCCCAATGAGGAAAACAAGGCTTCCATTCTTTTTCTGTTCCTTTTGAAAATAATTAATTTAGATTGCTACATTTCTTATTATAAACTATATTGTCTTTTGTAATTTTAGAGAACCAGATGGTATACCTAAGGTTCTGATTTATTTTTCAAAAGTGACATTGGTTTAAAAGATGTAATTTGATATCTGTATATACTACTTTGTGATCACCGCCAAGTTTAGTTTCCTCTAATAGTTGATTCCCTTTACCTAGGTTCCCCAGCCCCCGCTTAAGGTTTTGATCTGCTGCATTTTTACGTAACTGATACCTGTCTAGTAATTTAGGTAATATTATGTACTATAAAGAACCTCAAAATTTTCCATATCAACTAAAAAAAGAATTTTAACAAGTAAACACTCTCAGTACAAGTCCTTTTCATTTGTTTTGAAACCACTAATCTGTTCTTGATCTTTGGGTGGTAAGTCATCCACCTCCTGTCCAAAGGTACACTAAGAGCCATAGTTTTTCCTTTAAAAGATATTAGAGAATGTCTCCGTTTCTGTCTCCACCTCTCAGTGTAACAACATTTGGATCAAGAGCATATTTGCAGCCAATGGATACACGACAGTACTTGTACTGCCTAAAGCCCAAGAAGGAATTTGCCGAAAAGGCAGGCATTATTAAGGGAGTCACAGTAATTGGAAAGTTGGACATAGTGTGGAAAACAAATCTAGGAGAAAGGGGAAGATTACAGACCAGCCAACTTCAAAGAATGGTAAGTCTGGAAAAGTGTGGAATTTTTGGCATTGAGGGTCAGATAGAACAACTTAAAATTTTCCTAGTTCTGTCATGTCAGCACACTATAAAATAATACTACTAGAATAGTAATTTCACTGATCTTTAAGGTTTAATATTGTATTGATATGTATGAAAAATGCTTAAAAGTTAATTTATCCTTAGTATAGTTCCTTTTTTTTAAACTATACTAAATAAAATACCTACTTAAGGGCCCTCCCTGGTGGTGCAGCAGGTTAAAGCACAGCACTGAAAAGCTTAAGCCACTTCCGCATGAGTTCCATTCCGGCCTGCCCAGGAGATCCACATGGTGCGGCAGACCTCTCCTGGCCTGCCCACTGCTCCCCTCAGCAGTGTACTTCGTAGATGTGCCTTCTGCTCCCTGCTGTGTCTCTGATGAATCCTCTCACCCTCCGCATCTCTGGCCTGTACCCCAGTTCTATATGAATAAGTAAATAAATCTTTTTTTTTTTTAAAGATTTATTTATTTATTCATACAGAACTGGGGTACAGGCCAGAGGCTCAGGGGCGGTGAGAGGCTTCACCAGAGACAGAGTAGGGAGCAGAACAGGCAGATCGACGAAGTACACTGCTGAGGGGAGCAGCGGGCAGGTCAGGAGAGGTCTGGCTCGCCATGTGGTCTCCTCCGGGGCAGGCGGCAGGCGGGAATCGAACTCATACGGAAGTGGCTTCAGATTCTCAGTGCTGTGCTTTAACCCGCTGCGCCACCAGGGAGGGCCAAATAAATAAATCTTTAAAAAAAAAAAATACCTACTTAACCATGGTTCCCTTCTGTGGCAGTTCGTACTCACTGGTCATCTGACTTCAATACATTAAAATTTCCCTCTTACAATGTCCCAGAACTCTAGGGCTCACTATATTCACCCTACTCAATTCATATGTTTTTTAAGATGTTTAATATCTGAGTCACCTGCAATTCAGAAGGTGAGTGCCACTAAAGTTACCTTGAAAGCTTTGGTTATATATTTTATCTGATTTCTGCCTTGCCTTCTTTTGCATGTACTAGTGAGAATATGCTAAAGAAGTCTCTTATTCCTGATTATTACTGTTCTGATATATTTTGAAATGTACTTTTATTGTCTGTGGTAATTGAAAGGGAAAGCAAAGATTATCCCTATGGCCTGTTTTAAAATACAGCCGAGCTACCATCCTGCCAGTGCTTGTTTCAAACCCTGATGTTTCTGTGGCCCATCCCTGACCATGTCTTGTGAACACACATGCTATTCTTGATGAATTCTTTCAGAATGATCTGTCCTTTTTGTTTAGACAGTAACCTTACTATTTATAGCAACATATGATTAAGCTTCATTATCTCTGGAAAGCATCCCTTTAAAAGCAAAGCCCCTGAAATTTCTTTACTGTGAGATTCATCTTAATTCTGCTGAACATGGAGTAATTAATAGTAAAAATGGTCAAGGTCTATAGTGCTGTTCTAAAGGTTGCAGCAACAAATAAATTAAGAATAATAGAAAAGTGAGTATTTTCTCAGAACATCAGCTTGGAAACCCAACAATTGTTGAGTGAATGTGTTAGTGTGTTACCGTCATTAAAAGTAAGAGCTTTTGTAATAGATGTATGTTAACTGTGTTGCTTTTTTTCTTAGGCTCCAGGTTATGGAGATGTTAGGTTATCTCTGGAGGCAATCCCAGATACTGTAAACCTAGAAGAACCTTTTCATATTACCTGTAAAATAACAAATTGCAGGTAATGCAAATATTTGTGGGTAGATGTCTGTTCCTCATTACCTACCTAAAGTTATTTTAAAGTCTTTTAAATATTCTGTCTCCTTTTAAGTTTCCTTTTGACATCTAGCCCTCTTTGAAATTGGCTACTATAAAATTCTTCATCTGCTAGCTGTATATCACATATTTTTGAGTTCCTACTCTACTGGACATGTTCTCTATTCTGTTTCATTCATTTCATAACTTAGGTGGTAGATACTGTGTGCTTTCTAAGTAAGAAAAAGCCAACACACAGGTTAAGTGACTTATCCAAGCTCAGAGAGCCAGAAAACATAAGGACATAATTTGAAACCAGGTATATTTTCAAAGTTCATATTCTTTTCATTATTTACATTTCTTTCCCACTTCAGATAGGAACTTGGTAGGTTCTTATAGAATGACAAAATACAGATTTAATGTATTTGATAGATTTTTTTTGAAGTGTACTTATACCTGAGCTGTATCTTGAGTTTTAAAAATGTAAAAGCTTTAGTTATGAATAAGGGATAATCATAGACTGGAAAACTGGATTTGGAACAGAATATAATATCTAATATGAAGCAACAACAACAAGGGTTTGAAGCCAGGAAAATTTAGGATTAAGTCCCAGTCCTGTCAGTTTTGTTACTGACATTACCACTTAGTGTGTATGTTATCAGTGTGGGACATTTTGATAGTATTGCAGCCCTCGTAGTCTAAATTTAGAATTCTAAAGCATTTCTTATCCATTCTACTTTTATGACATTTGGAAGATAGGAAATATTCATCCTTCAAAACACCAAAATACTTCTTCTATAAAGCCTCCTAGATTGTCCCATACATAGTTAATATTTCCTTTGTAATAGCAAATTTTATTGTAGTTTTTTAGGGATATTCATATGTCACTATAATTATTCTCTTCATTCATAGATTGTGAATCATTCAAGAAAAGGGATTACATCTTGCCCAGCATTGTAAATCTTCCTGTACAGGAGCTAAGGGAACAACACACACAGGGCATGTAGGGTGTGCTTTTGGATTTTTTTGTTTGTCTTGAGGTTTGTTGAGGTATAGCAAATTGATTAATGACCAAATGACAAAGTACTGTAAAAATAAATTTCGTTTCTTTCAGTACTTCACTTTAACGTTTGTTGATTCAAATTTTCTAGAAAGCACATATTTCTTAGATCTTCAGTTTCCTCATCTATGAAAATGTGATTGCATACCCATATACACATACAAATTAAAATAACTGCTTATCAGTTGTTCCCTCCTCCAGTAATTATTGCGCACTGTTTTTCTGACTTCCAATACATTGAAGTTTTCTTTTTTGCAATATTCTGAAACCTTGAGATTTTCTACAGTCATCTCAATTTATAACTTTTGCAAGATGTTTAAAACCTGAGACTCAGAAAATGAATCTGAAGGCTTGAAAGTAGTCATAAATAGTGGTAGAGTAGAAAACTATTTTTCATTATGAGCATTCACTTGTAAAAAAATACATACACATTAAAAGTTTAACATATATTCTAAACTGAGCTGATATCTACATGCATAAATGTCTGTTAACAATGAACAAAACTAAATGGTGTTTACTTCTAAATCTTGTCAGTCATTTTCTACATAATCTGCATAAAACGGAACCATAGATTAAATAGCAAAACCACAGAAACAGATTCAGTTCATTTTTTTCTTTCCTGTGAAGTACTTAACGAAAATAGAAAGGATACGAAGCTACAAAATTAGACACAGATGTCTTAAAATCTGGAGAAATGGCAAAGCTATTTACAAATCAGCACCAGGGAGCCAGTATTCAATAATAGAACCAGAAGGCCTACACCCAGATAGGCAGCTGAGTTTCAGTGCCACTTTAAACCTTAAAAAAACGCCATCTCATTTCATTTTCCTGATTCTGTCTTAAATGAAATAAAAATGACATAATAGCTTTTGATTTCTATTTCTGGTGTTTATCTCTGGGTACCCAGAAAACAAATTCAGTGGCAGGAGTGGAAGAAATATAAAGAAGAAGATATGTCACAGAACCTCTTTGCAAAAGGAACAAGGTTTATTCCTGTTTCTCTGATTCCTTCAGCAGTGAAAGGACCATGGATCTGGTGTTGGAAATGTGCAATACCAATTCTATCCACTGGTGTGGCATTTCAGGAAGACAGCTTGGAAAACTACATCCAAGTTCCTCTCTCTGTCTTGCCCTTACTCTCCTGTCTTCAGTGCAGGGACTGCAGGTATGCACTCTTCTAAGTAATTTCTTTGGGGGCTGTTAACCCACAGTCATTTATTCTAGTCATATTTTCTGTCTTATTACTAATGAGTGAGAACTTAGCTCTATATCTTTCTCTCAATAGAGCGTCTCCGGCTTAAGACTGACAGACACATTCTTAAAGAGAACATACGAATATGATGACATCGCACAAGTCTGTGTGGTATCTTCGGCCATTAAAGTGGAAAGCTGAAGAAAATTCCCAGTGTTGAGCTTTTCATTGAGCTTCACAGAATTTCATATTTTTTGACACCTTTGTAAAATCATTAAGCTAACAGCAAAAATAAGTATCTATTACTTAAATTTCTTTCCTATAAAGGTTATTTAAGTTTTGTAAAGAAGATATTTTTACTTTGCTTAAGTATCTAGGACAGTTTGCAGGCAAAATAGTTCTATCAAAAATGTTCAGCTCTGCCATTGTCGAACAGGAGCAGCCAGTAGGAACACATGGTGTTTACAAATACAGTCAGCTGGCTGGACGTGGGTGCAGGCCATAATTTGTTGACCTCAGATAGAAAATAGTTAAAACTAGAATTTGAGAATTCTTGTAATACTTTGTTTAGAAGTATTTCAGTTATCCCTCTTTTTTTCCCAAGCTCCTCGGCCTACAGAATAACACAGGGGTGGTCCTTGTTTAACCATGCTAGCACAGTATGAATGTTTCTTGTTATTTTCAAAATTATTTTACTGGTATGTATTTGTGTTTATGTGTAATACATATGTGTAAATGTCAGTTACTGAACAGCAGATAAGAATTGATTTTATTTCTTAGGTTAGTTGATCACTAGGTTAACTTTTAACAGAAGCCTGGTATTTTCTAATTCTAAATCCAAAATTTCTGATATTTTTTCCCATTGAAAAAAAAGTCACTTTTAAGGGCATATTTAATGGATTTCCAACTTCTTATATTTGATTTTGAGCTTATATCATGTGTAATTCTTGTAAAACTTTCTATTTCAGCATGTAATCTATGCTTGCTTATATCGTGAAGAAAAAAAGTGAGAAAGTTAATAATGATTGTACACTTACAATCATTACAACATGATTGTAGTAGAAAGTGTTAAGAAAACAAAAGCATATGCTGTTAAAAACTCTTGTTTTGATAAATTGAAATTAGGGATCTATATATAATTTCTTAAATACAGGAGTACATTAAGTCAAATACAAAATTGGTTTTTCTTAAGTGCATAATTATTTATTGCCATGACAAACTGGTATGAAGTGAAAGCAACAGTCAGAATGAGATTTGCCCCTTATATTGGAGTAATGATTAATAAAATGTCTTTGCAAAATAAAGTGCAAGTTGTATAAAGTTGAAATTTGTCTTTCTTCCAGCATGATTAAGATTGATTAAATGATGAAATAAGATTTTATTGCCATTGATCTAGGTATTTTGACTGTTCTTCAAGCTTCCTCTCAGGACTGAACCTTCTGCTTCAAATTCAAAGATAACTTAGTGGTTACTTGCTAATATAATTTGTCTTAATTACAAAGTCTCATTTATAAGCAATAAGCTAGACATATATTACTGATGCTTTTAAGTAGAGGGTAGAGAATGTAATCTTAGAAAGGATCTGTTTTACCACATTATAAAAATTAGATAAACAACTTTGTATAGTAAATGAAAATTTCATTCGCATAAAAAAGACATCTTACGTTTTACATAGCATCCTAACAGGTATAGCTACTATAGTGAAGTGTGGTCATTAGAAGTCAATTATTCCTCAGGAAAATAAATTCTGTTAGTAGATTAAATATTTACTTTAACATTCTCTTGTTTCTTTAGTTAGAATGAAACTTCATTTCCAAATGTCAAAATATTTTGGGAATTTCTTATTATTATAAAAGTAGCTAACACTGTCAACTACCCAAAACTTTGAAGTAGCCTGCAGTGCGTGATTTCAAAGTGATCAAGATATTTGAACAAAAATGGTTTAAGAAGAACAGAAATTCAGGTAAGTAGACAAATAATCACCTAGATGAATTTGCTATTGATATATCAGCAAAGAAACAGGAAAAGTGAAATGGAAGAAATTAGCAGTTCTCATTCATGTCGAAACAGTGACTGCCTTAGATAGAAGCAAATCAAGATACTGTTTTAAAGTGCTTTTTCTTATATGCCTATGTCTGATTTTGGTGATAGAGTAATACCTTAGAAAAGCTGGGAAATGTTTTCTCCTCTTGTATGATTTAGAAGAAATTGTATAAAATATTTATCCTTGTTTTGGTAGCATTCGACACTGAAATCAGGGCCTGTGTAGTTTTTCCTCAGTGAGCTTTAGTGGGTTTTGTCTTACAAGAAATTCATCAATTTCTTCTAAGTTGTTATTTATATGGTGTATGGGAAAGTTGGTATTAGCATTTTCTAACTAACCTTTTATTATCTCCAAGGTCTGCAGTGATAACCACCTTTTTTTTTTTATTTTATTACAATTGATACTTTGTACTTTCCCTGTTTTCCTAGCTAGTCATCTAGAGGCTTATCCATTTTGTTGACCTGATCTGAAGATGTGATTAATATACTCAAGATAGCTTTGCTAAAAACTTCTTGATACTGGATTCTTACTAGATAAAAATACCTGATTTTTCATTATGATCATCTTTGCTTTGCTTTTCCCTGCTTCAATCATCACTTACATGTTACTCATTAGCATGTAACTCTTAACACTTCAACATTAGGAATTCAATTTAACTTCATGAAAAGTTATATTGGTTTTGATGGGATAGAGGAGATTTAACTCAGAGGGGCTAAGACTTAAGCTTTGCTCTTCTCTAGCCAGAACCATAGGCTCATAAATATCTTTGTTGTATTCTGAAGCCCAAGCATTAGGTATTTGCTAGTCTGAGGAGAAACTTCTATCCTAATGTTTTGAAATTAGAGTCCTTGGATCTACTTGAGAACCACCTGGTATTCCGTATAAAATGCTAATTCCTGGGCCTTGTTACAGGACCTATTACATAAAAATAAAAATCAAAGATTGGCCTTTAATTACTTTTTTAATGGGTTCTTTAGGTGATTCTTAACAGAACTGTTATTCTGATCTCACAAAGGGAAAGAAAGGAAAAGTTGATATTTAAATGTCAAGGTACCACATAGTTTTTTAGAACCATTTTATTAAGGTCCTGGTCATTATCAGTGTTACCCACTTACTTCTATATTACTTTTTCAGTTTTCCTTCACAACACTAAATAATGTGCCTGCTCAAATTTACCAATTTCATGATTCTAGTTGGAATTAGATTCCAGTTGGAATGGTCTGCCCACCAAATGCCACTTCTCTCTACTAATATACTAATTTCAATATAATACTTTAAGCCCCCTGTTCTATTTAAGTTGCATCAAATTAAAGTTAAGCATAAAAATGGCATGCCAAGTCAAATATAGCAGAGGATTACATGAACAAAGAAGGGTAGGGATAAAGGTTTTTTGGATCCATCAAGTAATTACTAAGTCTTAGAAAATCAGAATTTATGGGCACATAATTAAATGTCACTTAGAAAATCCTTAATTAGGGCCAAGCCACTCACTTATTTAAATGTAGTTAAATGAGAGTTTCCATGGTAAGGTCACCACTGGGAAAATTGTGCTATTAAATTGAATAGTTACATAACTGACCTAATTGGTACCATTAAGGATTTCTAATTGTATTTTATTATGTACTTAGCATAATTTATCATGCTTATATTATCAATAACCAAATTGCAGGCAAGGTTAATAAAGAACTATGCAGAAAACCTGAGCATACTATCTTCATCTATACATTCACAGCATCAATTTTTCTTTTCAAAATAACATACCTTCCACCAAAGACTGTTTTCTACCAGCTCTAAAGATTCCCTTTCATCCATCAGAACAAGCAGCAATCAAGGTGGTACTGGGCCCTATGATATATATTCATTACTTCATAACATTATCACAGCTAAACCTAGATAACAAATTTCTTCTCTCTAGACATGCTGCTTAGTGGAAGTATATTTACCCTAAACCAGCATAAGAAACCTTTCCTCTTGGTGATGTCCCCGTTCAAAAAAAAATATTCTTAAGGGAATTTGGAGCTCAACAATAAACAGCCCTATCACTCAATAAATATACTCTGCTATTAGGTATAATATACAAATATGGTGGAGGTTTGAAAATGGAACCCAGTCTAGTGTATTACTAACACTTAAAATGGCTACCAGTCATTTTTTTTTACAAGAGTCTCATTATGTTTAAGTCTGTTGGTGCTAAATCTATTGTCTACACGGATTTATCCTTTAGTTGTTTTGTTTTGGCCATTATCTACAGCAGATATTCAGAGTCGTAAACCATTTGTACACTGGGCTAGGACCCCTATTCTCTAATCAGGAATGTTCTTCAGTGCTGCTGCTGAATGATCTGCTCCGAATGTGATTTCTCAGTTGTTCTATAAGTTCAGGATTCTGCTGCTGTATTTGCTGCGCAAACTGCTGTCCCCTGTATTAAAGAGGCAAAGTAGTATGAATTAGGGAATTTCCAATCACACCATACCTATGCAAAAAAATAAATAAATAAAATAAAGGCAAAGAATGTGGGTATTTTAACCAAGGGATCTTTTTCTATTAAATGTTTAGAACCACAACTTTAGAATTTATAAGTTTACTGGTGCTTCCATAATAATAGCATTACTACTGTGCAGTTTTCTTGACAAGAACAAAAAACATCCAAGGTGAAAAGTGAGTCCCTGAAGTGGGTGATAGTCCCTCCAGCAGTGCTTAACTACAAATAGCAAAAGGCTAAGCATAATTTTTTTTATGTGCTCAAATATAATGCAAGGTATTTACTCTTGTAGTCAAGTCTTAATAGTCTAGTGTGACCATATGGTGATACTCATAGATAGCACCTACCAAAACTGATTTTGAAAAGACAGGAAATTTAAACAAATTGCTGAGTGAGTTAGCCTCAATTGCAAGTGTTGGACAGCACTATATTTATGCCACTTAAAGTTCACTCTAAAAATATAATTTTGCACGGTCATGTTCACAAACTTCAAATGGTACTTGTTGCTTTCTATAAAATTTTCAGTGGTAGTTTCATACTCAGATTCCAAAAGCAGAGTATCTTAAGCAAATGGGATAGAAAGTGCTCACGTAATACGAATATGCATGACATCCCATACTGAAATGTCTAAACAGAAGTTTTCTAATATATGCAACACAAATTTTTAAATCGTTATGTGTCCCTAAATTAATGAGTACTTGAAAAGTAGATGTTTGAGTACTTGAAAAGTAGATGTTTAATTTTCATTTATATCCTTGAGAAGTTATTTTAATATCTGTCAAAAGGTTTTCTTAGATCTTCACTGGCAATCAGTCATCATGGGAATCAACTATTTTTGAGATTACGTTATGTTTGCACATAAAATTTATACTGTTTCTCTCCCTTAAATGTACCAGATGGTCATATCAGATCACCAATCTTTAAATAAAGATGATAGTTTTGATAGTACCATTTAAAACTAAGGATCCTAATATACTGACAGCACAATCCAGTAATAAAAAAGGTAGGCTGCAAATCAAAAAACTAAATGTAGACCTAGCAATGTATGGTCTGAAGCCTTAGTGAATCACTAAACTTTCTCTCAGATTTTCTATTGAATAGAAATGTAAATACCTGTTCATTATTAATTACATTACTGAGATATCACTCAAAAAAAAAACTGAATATATATGGTTGCTTTTCTTTAGGTACAAAGCTAGCAAGACATTCCAGATCTTAGATTCCTACTTTTCAATCTAAAAAGTACTTCCAATCTATGAACTTCTTTTATATTTAATAACTAATTAGGTAACTGATGGTAACAATAAAAAAATAAAAATTTTAAAAGAAAGCCTTGCTTCCCACACTTTAAAGATAAAACACTTTTTCACTATTTGTATTTTAAGTACACACTTACGCTTGGATGAGGCTAGACAGGTCAGTTAGGCCCCCAACTCCAGCAGCAGGTCCTCCAATGGCATTTGTCATCATTCCTGACATTCTAGAGTATGCAAGAGACATATCACTTGTTTAGCATATATTATTAGTATATAACAGCCAATGGAAAAGCCCGTTAAATATTCCTACACTGTGCAGTAGGTTAGGCCAAATGTGTGTGACTTTAAATTCTGACCAGTATTCAGGGCAGTTTTATCATTTTAGTGTAAGTGGAAAGAAGAAATGTAATAAGCTTTTCAGTACACTTACAGCTGTTGAACTTGAGGATTCTGCATTAAACTTGCTGCCTAGAATTGAAAAAAAAAAAAATAGCATTTCCCATTAAGGAGTTACAATTTAGGAATTTTTGACATGGAATTTTTTCAAAAAGTAGAGGAACAAAGGCTAAACCATGTCAGTACTTTGGATTTTGTACAAGTATTTTGTAGATTTCCAGTGTGCTATACAAAGTAAAAGGAAATGTAAAAAAAGGAGGTGCTAGAAAAAAGTAGTATTAAAAATACATTGCAAAGATAAAGTGATTATAGTCTAAGAATACTGACAGCAGTTATTACTACTGATCAGATCCATAAAGCCACAAGGAAAAATACAGACTTTAAAAGTATAGTTAAAGAATCTACACTTGAGAGGGTCTGTTTCAAAGAGTACCCTAAAGATGTGACCTCCCTCCAAGTTGTCTCAATTCGTCAATGCTTCAGTAGGAGCGAAATAATTAAACATCTTTTAAAACTTTATATTTTGAAAGCCTAATATTTTATTTTTGCCTTATTGGTAGTGTCAACAATATTCATATAAGTTATATTTAGTCTAAATCTTTGTAGACAGTAAGCTAATTTTTGATTCACTGACCCAAAATAAACTGTTAGAAGCCACCACTTGCTTTTATTACCAGAAATATAGTTATTTGACTGACTTTCACATGATTCAATTAAGGTTAGACTTGATGCCTCTGTGCCAGCACATTAATGCTATGAGGCATTGCACCAAAAAAGCAAGGGTTTATGTGCTATAAACAAAGCATTTCTTTCATAATCAATTTGATTTTGCAGAAATAATTCTTTCTCTTTTTCTAGACTCTAGGACCTAGAAGAAATACAGATCAGATCATATAGCTCTTCTGAGCACTTTGAAAAAAGCAGTCCTCCAGGTACTGTAAGTTAGAAAATGACTTCCACATTAGTAATTAATTACTTGCTCACTGTAATTACACACAAAAAAATTGCATTTCAGATAAATCTCCTTCCCCAGCATGGGCTAGTTACAGCTGGCCAGGTGCACTAGAGAATGGGTACTGTTGGTTGTACTTTTCACATAATGTTTCTTCTACTTCTCTTCCTCTAGCTTGCTGACTCAGAGTTCAGGTTCTCCATGAACAGAGATAAATGAAGAAAGAGAATAAGGAGAGCAGGAAAATTCTTTTTTTTTTTTTAAGATTATATTTATTTATGTATAGAATAACTTGTGTAGGCCGGAGTTGCAGGGCATGAGAGAATTCAGGAGAGACAGAGTGGGGAGCAGAACGGGAGTATCTACTGAAATACACTGCTGAAGGGAGCAGCGGGTGAGACCAGGAGAGGTCCTTGCTGTGCCAATGTGGATTAACACCCTGACCCAGGACTGAACTCAGAGCATAGGGTGATAGTGCTGAGACTTAACTCCTAGGATACCAGGGATGCTCAAGAACAGGAAAATTCTTATTTGACTACTTGTAGTATTGTTGGTTTTGTACTGGTACTCTTTGGGTTTGCAAGTTTTTAAAACTACTTAGATTCTCTCATTGGACACTATCTGAAATTCTTCAGACACTTCTTATTACCCCCATCTCCCTTGAGGATTTCTCCTCTACTTTCTGAAAAGAGTAATTTACTCTCTGGATCTATGCTGTCACTTACCCTTTGGTCCCAGGTTCTCAGTAATTCTTCTCTCAGAACTATCAGAGTTGGGATTCTGCTACCCTCCAGGAGGGCCTCTTGGGCAAATTCAAGTCTGGAACTGTCTTGCAAGCTTGGAACTGTCTGATGGCTCTGCTTGGACCAGGAAACATACCTCTACTCCCCTGTCTTCGGGACTTCCCAGACCACAAGCTAATTATGTTACTTGCTTCTCCAGCTGGCAAGTCAGATACCAGTCTGCTGTCTGCCAAACTGTTGCCCATCTTTCATAGAAAGCGCTGAGTGGGCCAGAAAGGCCTTTTCCAGTGGACTTAAGCTGAAGTCTATAGCCCCCCTACTCCCCACGTGCATGGAGCAGGGCTCTAACCCCAGCAGCATGCTACAAAAATCTTTAACCTCTGTCATCTGATCCTTTCTAAGAACCACAAAGCATAATTTTAATCTCCACCTTTTTGCAATTCCTACATAGTAGTCTTACAATTTATTTCAGTATATAGTGTCTTTAGGCATAAGCCAAATATAAAACTAACAAATCCATTTTCCACATTGTAATAGCATAACCTAAGGCCTGGAAATAGGTAGCAATGTTCAAAAATGTATCTACAGAGATATATTTTTGCTGTCATGCAGCTGGAAAGACCAACTTAAATTTGATTACCTCAGAGGCACTAATATTCAGTGAGAATTTTAGTTATTGGATTACATTTGCAAGTGAAACACTTGCCTTTCTGGTAATAAAAGCAACTAGTAGTTTTTGCCAATACCTTATTTAGGGTCAGTGATTCAAGTATTACCATCTAGTCACCTACAGGTAGAACACAGAGAAAACAAAAAAAATATCAGACAAACTTTAAAAACACCCCTTGAAAACTGACCACGTCTGCAGCTTTCATAGTAGTGGAGGGAGAATGTGAGTGGGGGAGGGGAGGAAGGCCACCAAGGGCTTTGGTGGAGGCCCATTGGTGCTTCAGTGGTGGGAGTGTGATGGTAACTATACCTGAGAGGGCAAATCCTATACTGTCAGAACACTGGCAAGGATTTGGAATAATAGCACTTCAATAGCAATAAATAATTTTTGTTTTAATTACTATCCTCAAAGATTTAGACTACTAATTTTAAACTCCTAGTTCGTACAAACCTACCAGTTGTTCAAAAGCTTACTTAGTTCAGTAGGAATGAGTTATCTCTGCATTTCAACTCAACTGAAATTTAGTGACTACAAGGCATATTTTTTGAAGGTGCTGCCTTCCAAGTGTACAGCATGTGGTGGAATGGGTCTCAGCCACAAATATAAAGTTACCCAAGAACTTTATATACCCAGTTGACATCCACCACTCACTAGAGTTCCAAATACTGGACCAGAGAATGTGTTTTCCAAAAAGTCCACAAGTGATTTTGCTGGTTTGAGGTACAGCATACATTTGTAAGAAATTTATATTGAAAGTTCAAATAAATTCTTATGATAGAAAAGAAACAGACAATGCTGAGAAAAGAGCTTAGGGAACCATAAAAACCAAAACCCCGACCTCAATTATTAGATACCTTCCTATGACCACTTTTATGCAAAGTAATTTTTAACCTTCTGTAAATTTGCGACCTTTCTGCCAATCTGATGAAAAATACATTTCTTTCCCTAGAAACATTCATATAACCACATGAATACACATGTCTGTATGTAACTTCAGGGACTCTGGTCTTCCTAAAGTTCATTCATGGCTTTCCCACAAATTAATTCTCATAGGTAAGAACATCAGTTTGACATATCACAACTCCATTGCCACCACCAACACAAAGCTCCCTTACATGTTTCTCAAGTTTTGTAACTATATAGCTCTATCAGAAATAGCTGCAAAATAGAAAAAGAAATATACTCACCATACTAATGAAGGCTGGATTGTTTATTAAGCTAGCCATGTCAAAGCTCAATCCAGTTCCTGTCTGTAAAGAAGTACATGTCTGAGAATCATTCTACACTAGAAGTTAATGACAATAATTGTGAATGGCCCAAAAAAAAAAAAAAAGCATTCATTTGGCATTCAAAACTTACAGGACTAGATACCTCTCTTAACTTCTGTTCTGCTATTTTCAGATTTGATTTATAGGAATCATTTTCAGGATCAAGATCTAATGCCTTTTGATAACTTGTAACTGCTTCTTCAAATTTATTCATGGCAGTGAGGGCCAGCCTGAAGAGAATTTAAGAGTATAAGATACATGAGTAAAGAACCTTAGGACATCACAATGTAGTCAAACATCTATCCTGGTATCCGGCTCTAATCCAGATTATAGCTAATTTATTTGTTGTATTATGGTTCACAGGAATAACACTAAAATTTCCTCTAATTCCAAGATTCTGTAAGTTAGACTTTTCCTGACAATCCTGGTTATCCTATATGATTATGAACTTAGTGCCTGGAGATGAACTGTGCCTGCTTTTACAGTGGTAAGCCTAATATGTGAAGAGATTTGTGCCATGAATGCCTAGATTAAGGTCCACAAAGATGTCAGTTGATGAATAATCCCATGGTCATATAATTTCATGATGCTAAAGACATTTTAAGGACTCTAACCTAAACTTGTATATCATATGTCTTACTTTCTTCTTCCAACTAGAGACATTGAGCCATAATAAATATAAATTTGCCCTTAAAAAAAAAAAATAGTTGACTACCCCTGACAAGACAAAAAAAAAATAGTTGACTACCCCTGACAAGACCTGCTAGTTGTAAAGAGATAAAATTTACAGCTCAAATAAATTATTATCACAGCCACAGGTCAAAGAGTTAATTATAACATTTTTGTTTTCCTCCACCTAGTTAAAATTTATTTATTGGAAAATTACTTCAAAACAATGTAATAATGGTTTTTATGAAGAGGTAATATTGAGGGCTTTGTACTTACTCTAGGTTTGTTTTTAACAAATTATCCCAATTCATTCTTGGCTAGCTTACCTCATAGAATCCTGATCTAGAACAGAGTCTAACCAAAGAAAAGCTCCCAGAATCTAATTAGTGTTCTACAAGTTGCCAATGAGAGAAACTTCTCAGAGTTGTCAACTAATCAACAGTCAGTTTTTATTAATGCTTGGTGATATGCCAGACAGTATTTTAGATTCTATAAGGAGAAAGGGAAAATTCTCATTTATAAAAATTCCATCCTACCTGGGAAAGACATGTATTAAACATGAAAATAAAAAAAAAGAATGAATAAAGCTGTTCACATTAAAAAGAGCTGAAAGTCATATGAAAATCAGGTCTGAAGCATTCTAAATAAAAGCAGCTAAACAGAGGGGCCCTGAGAACATCAAAGTTTAGTATGCTGGAAGAATAAGACAAAGGCTGAGGAGGAGGGAACGTAAGGAAAAAAGACAGTCTCAGGAAGGATTGTGTCAGATCAGAGAGGATCATGATTTGGAGTTAGGATGTTATTCCGGTTGAAATGAAGTGACATGATTTATGCTTTGGAAAGCTCACTCTGGCTTCTCTGCTGAGCATCAACCTGGGTGTACAATAGAGCGTAGGCAAAGAGATCAGTTAGGAAGTTACTGCAGTTTGGAATAGGGTTACAAGTGCTTAAATACAAGATATATGTGCGGAATAGAATTGACAGGACTTACTGACAGATCAGTTTGCAAGGCAATAAGAATAGGGGATGATTCCTTGGCTTTTAACCTGAGCTCTAAGTAGGTGAATCATGATACTATTTACTGAAATAGACCAAGAGCTCTGTTTGGGACATGTTAACTTTAAAATGTCTAGTAAGTATCTAAATGGGAATTTAAAAGTATTTGAATATAGAATTCAAACATAGAACTTGAAGTTAGTCAGCATATACAATTGATTCTCACTGTTCATAGTGAACCCTGAATTAGCAAATATCAAACAATTGCTCTTAGGGGAAAATAGTTCGTGAAAACCTTTAGTTAGAACATTTTATGAGCCATAAATAAGTGTGTTATATCAGTATTTCTGTTTAAATAAACTTTATTTAATATTATTGTCAATTCATTAACATTGAACTTATAGCATAAACCAAGTTCATCTAACACATACACATCTAAGTATAGCCTGCTTGTGGTTAGGAACACTACGTAATTCTTCATTCTACATTTAGAAATCACTGTAAAGAGAGAAGTCACAACAAAAGGCACAGAAATGCAACAACAACAACAAAAAGCATGTGTGTCTGTGTGTGTGGCATTAAATATTGTGAAAACCCACTTTCCAAAATAGGAGCTGAAAAAAAATAAAAAGATCACCTTATGTGATCTTAGCTGTCATCCTTCACATCAGCTGACTACAATTTTTCCTCATTCTAACCACAAAAGCACAGTATTGATATGGGGACTACAGGGGGAAAGATCTAGTTAACATATTCTTAAATATGGAACCCAGGAAAAAACAGTATCAACTGTATGTGGAATTTAAAAGCATGGGGCATATTGTATCTCATAAAATCAGAACAGAACAGACAGAAACAGCAGCAACACAGGCTAGAGCTTTGAAGAAACCACTGTTTAGAGGTAGGTCCAGTAAAGGGAGACTAAGAATACACAACCAGCATAGTAAAAAGGAAACCAGGAAGTGTGGAACAACAGAAACCTAGAGAATGAACTAGTCAAAAATAAGGTTATCATAGTAAATATCAAAGATGGGTTGGATGAGGATACAGGTTTGAACATTTTTATGTGAACTGAGTATTTTCATTATTTGCTTTGGCAAAATATAAACAACTGGTGACCATAAACAGAGCTCTCACTAGAGGGACACAGACAAAAGCCCTGAGGAGAGAATGTAAGATAATAAGAATGAAAGAAACTGTAAGGGGTGGTTGGCAGAGGAGGAGGAACTGAAAAATGAGATTGTGCTGGCTGAAAGGATGGTTGCAATGGATTCTTTGTCATGACCATTTCACATGCAATCATTATCACTGTAGAAGTAGGAAAACTAAAGTTGGGAAGAGGAAGAGGATAATTGCAAGTGGGGAGTCCTAGTGAAAGTACAAAGAGTGGGATTTAAAGAATGAATTGAGGTGATGGCCTTCGACCAAAACAACTCCATTTTAAAAGGATAAAGGTAGGCTGTATAGGTACAAGTGCAGGTAGACTGGTGGAAATAGGGAGATGAGTTACTTCTAAATGTATCAAAATAGTACAAGTACAAGGCAGTATCATGGAGGATATAGTAGAAACTTGTAGAAGAATGAGTATAAAATAGTACCTTCAGAGAGTGGTAGTGAATTTAGAAGGCATAGGATAATCTCCCACAACACTGAGTGGTCATTTGAAATTTGTCATCTTGAATATGAAATGAGTCTACTCTATACAGTACTATGATTTTCTACACCAACCATTCATTATATAACAAATCATCTCTCTCACAAGTCAAACACTGCAATTATTTCCACCCTTAATACCATATTTATCTCTTTAGTTCAAAGGATACAATCTTAAGCAGGAAATTCAAAACCAAGCCATTAAAATAGCATATCCGATACTACTTTGCACATTCTCCCAGAACTTACCCCATTCGCCCATAGGCCTTGCTGTACTTTGAATCAATTGCTATTGCTTTTTCACAATCCTTTATTGCATCTGTATAGTGACTTAATTTACTTTGAGCAGCAGCCCTGAGAGAGAGAAGAGAGAGATTTTTATTATAGCTACCTTCAAAAAACTATTTGAAAATAGTTTCCTTGCCCTGAAATGTATATCACTCCCAATGAATATCTAAATAAAATTGCCTAAGGTCATTCTAATCAAATAAAAAAAAACTCAAAAGCAGAGAAAATATGCAGACTGTCTTTCACTGTTTGCTTGCTATAGAAAACAAATATAGGAATCATGTAAATGATCTACCTATTTAATGCCTTTCTTATTTGCACAAACTAAAAACAGTAGGATATTGGGAACTATAGAGAAACTCAGAGTGATGTTTATAGCTATTAAGTGCTTTTATAGCTATTAAGAGTATTGTGCTGTTAATTGATGACTTTATTAAACCATCCAGCAAGTCTAAAATGAAAACTAAGATTTACCTGCGTGCCTAAATCTGCTACAACTTAAAGATAACAAGATAGCCCATCTACTTAGTATATAATCTCAACACAATTGAGGGCCATTGAATTCTTTCCAGGTTACCTTTAGCAAAGCTCCTGGAATGACTGAGTCTTGACAACATAATGAAGCCACTTACTATCCTTCACAAAATCCTGATAGCGGATAGCTCAGTCCCACAGTACTGCCCACTTCAACACCCAGGTACATACACTAGCAGAATTACTGTTCAACATGTATTCCTTCAAATTGAAAGTTCCCATATCACCTGCCAATCCATTCACTGTCATACCATTTGTTTTTCTGCTTTACTCACTCAACTAATATGATCTGTGGGCTATCTAATGCGCAGACACTTTTCTAAGCATAATGGATAGAGCAGTGATCAAAATAATATTCCTGTCCCCATATTCACTAATGTAAGTGATACATGTCATGTACAATATTTGATTACATGTACAGTGTACATGTAAGTAATTCAGTATTTGAGGGGGAGAAGTACATAGGGCAAACTAAAAAAAAAGATAATCTGAATCTAGTTCTGTCAACTTCCTGTCATACAGTTTTACTGAACCCTTATATCTCAGAGTAAGCTTATAAATTTAGAAAAAAATATATAGTCCTTTATTTCTGTTTTAAAATTTTAAATGTGAAAGTACAGCTTTCAACAACCCTGTTTGGGGAGTTTACTTGAAAGTAAACATATATATATATATATATGTGTGTGTATATATATATATATAAGTATGTGAATTCTCAATACAAACTAACAACCGGACAAAAATAGCCATTAGAAGAGGATACAGGATATATCATTTCCAAATAATTAGGAAAAGACAAAGTAGAGATAATATAATGGAAGCCAAAAAAGGGGGGTGGGGTGAGGGTGGGAAAGAAACCAAAAAAAACCTAAGATAGCATTAAACAATTCAAATGTATCAGTAATCACAAAGTTAACTAGGCAAAAATTAGATTCTCAAATTGGATACATAAGATACCAACTAAAACATCACCACATGTAGATTGAAGTTAAAGGGATAAAAAAGACAATTAGGCTTGTACTCAGTGAAATAAATTAGAAGGAAAAGAAAGTTGGATGGTTTCACACACAGGAGAAATGTAGGGAAACCAAACAAAGGGTTAGAGGGGGGAAAAAAGACAAAACTAGCAGGCAAATTATTGATCTGAGCCATGCAACAAAGGAGAGAGCATAGGGGTCAAAGAGGGGAGGGAAAAGCACAAGGGACCATGGTGATGGTTCACAGGGAAGGCAGTAATGGGAGATGTATAGGTATTCAGCTGAGGAGAGAAATTAAATATTGTACAAAAAAGAAAAAGAAAAAAACAATCATACAAACTGAAAATGAAGTAAAAGATAGTTGTGTAGAAAATAGTAATATCAGATATAAAACAAAAAGCATTATTAAGGATAGTCATTATTTATTGTCTTTTCTCATTTAATTCCATAGAAAGCATTTACATGGCTTGGAAGCCACATATACTAAGTTTTATTCTTATCCCTACAGAAGATGGTGGAAATGAGGTAGATGAGATAGAAATTGAAATGAGACTTCAAAAAAGATGAAAAAACGTATTCAAATTGAATAAAACAAAGACAAATCATTCTGTGTATAAAAGAGAAAGAATTCAAGTAATTTTTAAGCATAATACAATGAGTATATATCCTCAGTGAAATTCATTTTAAGGACAAAAAAATAGCAAGTCCATGATGATATTCAAAAAGTTGGAAAAAAAAAAAGAGGAAAAGCAGAAAAGGACAAAGTGGGGAAAAGTTCTTTACAGAAATATGTGAGGAAATATATGTAGATGAAGTGTTAAAATTATACAATAAATTTTAATTTTTTGATAAATTATAAATTGTCATCCAAGTACTAATGATTCAGGGAAAGGTACAATAAAACATTGGGTAAAAGATTGTTCAGGAACAGAGTATTCATGTGATCACATGATCTGACCTATTTTGATTACAAAAGAACTAAGAGAGAGTGGTGATAATCACAGCTCTAAGACATGAAACTTAAAATCACCATTAATGTGCCTTCTAATGTAATAATTGCTATATCTAATTATTTTTTTTTAAAGATTTATTTATTTGTACACACAGAACTGGGGTACAGGCCAGAGGCTCAGGGGCGGTGAGAGGCTTCACCAGAGACAGAGCGGGGAGCAGAACAGGCAGATGGACGAAGTACACTGCTGAGGGGAGCAGCAGGCAGGTCAGGAGAAGTCTGCTGCGCCATGTGGATCTCCTCCCGCAGCAGGCGGGAATCGAACTCATGCAGAAGTGGCTCAAGCTTCTCAGTGCTGTGCTTTAACCCGCTGCGCCACCAGGGAGGGCACCAAGATTTATTTTTATTAGTTTATGCATTCAAGAACTGGGGTATAGGCCAGAAGTGGGAAGGGTGAGAGGATTCACCAGAGACAGAGTGGGGAGCAGAACAGGTAGATCTATTGAAATACACTGCTGAGGGGAGCAACAGGAGAGACCAGGAGAGGTCTGCTGTGCCATATATGGGTTAGCTTCCTGATGGGGAATTGAGCTTAGGCCATGGCAGTGATAGGCTTTGATTTTATTCCTAGGCCACCAAGGAGGCCCTACACCTAATTATTTATGTAGGCCTCATAAAAAAATTTAACTTAAATTTGATCATGAAGAAGTAATCACAAGTTCAGAATAACATACAGTCCATAAGATCATTAACCAGTTCAAAATATATGAAGTCTTTATGCTGTATATCTTAAACTTAACACAGTGCTGTATGTCAATTATATATCAATAAAATGGAAGGAAGTGGGGATTAGAGATCATTTACCACAACTCTTTAAAAAGTCTGTCATGAAACAGAGCACCCAACACCACAATAGTGAAGGCAAAGATAAATAGATGGGACTACATTGAGTTAAAGAGCTTCTGTACAGCAAAAGAGACATTACAAAAAACAAACAGACAGCCCACTAATTGGGAAAACATTTTCTCACACAAAAGTAGTGATAAAGTGCTGATCACAAAAATATATGGAGAACTGATGAAACTCAACAAAAATAA